TCGAATTTGCAACGATATTGGTCGAATGGTTTTTCAGCAGTTGACACGAGAAAATGATGCGATTTTTACGAAATTTCTTAAGACTTTATATAAATAAAGAACAAGTCGCAGGTCCGAATAGCGACTTTTGAACGTGGAGTAGTTGCTCTTATTTTCCATGAAGTAAATCTCTGTGACTTTAAGCCTTATATAGCAGTGAAGAAGATCCTCTTAACTAATACAATCTAGTAGATTTTTTTTAAGTACGTAGCGTTCATTTTGTAATGGCTAACTGTACATGGGATAAATTCCTGCAAGATCGAGCTCTCTCAATGCGTTTTAGTTTACATTTATATGAAGTCAGAAAACCACTGTATGAACGGTTGGCTCAAAAGAATGATTTTTTCTCGAACATTTATACACTTTATATACAGAAAGAGCAAATCAACGGAAATTGACGAAGCCATGCGGAAATATCCTGGACATGTTCCTTGGGTTATGGCTTTAAGCCTTTTTATGTGCAATGAATACCCACTCAAGTTGTACAAAATCAAATTTGCATCGGAATTACTTATATGGTTTTTGAATGGTAGGCTCGTAAATATGAATTTTTCCCCGAAATTTACATAAAAATGACCAAGCCATGCGGAAATCTCCTGAACATGTTCCTTGAGTTAGGGCTTTAAGCCTTTTCATGTGTAAAGAAGACCCTCTGAAGTTGTACAAAATCAAATTTGCAACGAAATTGATCAAATAGTTTTTGAATGGTAGGTTCGTGAATATGGTGTTTTTTCCCGAAATTTACATTAAGAAAAAACACATTGCCGGTGCAAAAAAATGACCAAGCCACGCGGAAATCTCCTGGACATATTACTTGGGTAAGGGCTTTAGGACTGATAATGTTCTAAGAAGACCCTCCAAAGTTGTACAAAATCGAATTCGCAACGATATTGGTCGAATGGTTTTTCAGCAGTTGACACGAGAAAATGATGCGATTTTTACGAAATTTCTTAAGACTTTATATAAATAAAGAACAAAATTCTGGAAACAAAGTGATCCCTCGGAAGCATTAATCACAACAAAATAACATAAGAATTGCAGACTCGGTTTGATTGAGTCTGTACATGAGGGATAATGAATAAGTGCAACATCCCTCACGCCCCCTAGCACCGGCTTGAGCGGTACTCAAACAAGTCGCAAGTCCGAATAGCGACTTTTGAACGTGGATTAGTTGCTTTTATTTTCCATGAAGTAAATCTCTGTGACTTTCAGCCTTATATAGCAGTGAAGAAGATCCTCTTATCTAATACAATCTAGTAGATTTTTTTTTAAGTACGTAGCGTTCATTTTGTAATGGCAAACTGTACATGGGATAAAGTCCTCCACGATCGAGCTCTCTAAAGCTCGTTTATTATCACACACTAGCACAGATTTACATTCTTTGAATGCTGCTAGAAATAATGATTTTTTTCTCGAAAATTATACACTTTATATACAGAGAGAGCGAACTGCCGGAAAATGACCTAGACGTGTTGAAATATCCTGGACATGTTCCTTGGGTAAGGGCTTTAATCCTTTTCAGGTGCAAAGAAGACGATCTCAAGTTGTACAAAATTAATTTTGCAACGGAATTGATCAATAGGTTTTTGAATGGTAGACTCGTGAAAATGATGTTTTTTTCCGAAAAGTTACATAGAGAAAACACAAATGGCCAGTGCAAAAAATAACCAAGACATGCGGAAATCTCCTCAACATGTTCCTTGGGATAGGGCTTTAAACCTTTTCATATGCAAAGTAGACCTTATCAAGTTGTACAAAATGAAATTTTCAACGGAATTGATCAATTGGTGTTTGAATGGTAGGCTCGTGAAAATGATGTTTTTCCCGAAATTTACATAGAGAAAGAACAAATCGACGTTGCAAAAATAACCAAGCCATGCGGAAATATCATGGACATGTTCCTTGGGTTAGGTCTTTAAGACTTTTTATATGCAAGGAAGACCTTCTCAAGTTTTACAAATCAAATTTGCAACGGAATTGATCAAATTGTTTTTGAATGGTATACTCCTGAATATATGATTTTTTTCCGAAATTTCAATAAAAATAACCAAGCTTTGCGGAAATCTCCTGGACATATTACTTTGGTTAGGGCTTTAGGCCTTTCCATGTGTCACCAAGACCCTCTCAAGTTTTGCAAAATCGAATTTCTAATGGAATTGGTCAAATTGCTTTTGAACGGTAGGCTCGTAAAATTGATGTTTTTTTTTTTTCAAAATTTATATAGAGAAAGAACAAATCTTCAAGGAAGACCCTCCAAAGTTCTGCAAAGTCGACTTTGCAACGATATTGGTCGGATGGTTTTTCAACAGTTGACACGAGAAAAATGATGCGTTTTTTACGAAATTTCTGAAGAATAAATAAAGAACAAATCGCAGGTTGGAATAGTGACTATTGAACGTGGAGTAGTTTCTCTTAATTTATTGAAGTAAACGTGAAAAGAGAAGTATGATGCAATTTGACACAGGCACTGTATAGAACCACGTAAAAAGAATTCTAGATGTAAATTTTTTTCGCAATAATAGTTTTGTCAGATCCATGTCTGCCTCTGTCATATTTTATGAGTGATGGTGTCCACAATCAATTACTTGTAGGCATCATTTGCACAAATCATTATTCTTGAACGGTTATCTGAAATTTCTACAAAAGGCAATTTCCAGTTGAATTAATAAATATATGTTCAAAAACTGTAAGAATAATGCGCGTGTTCATCGTTTGAGCTGCACTTTCGTGTAATCCAATGACCTTGCTATTGCTTAAAACGGAACAATAAATTGGACTAGGATAAAGAATTCGAACGAACTTTTTTTTCTTAGTTGGGGTGGGTTGTTGTTGTTGCTATTGTTGATAATTTTTTTTTGTTTTGAAAAACAAATTTGTACAATGTTTTTGTTTAACATTTTCTAAAAATCTTTAATCATTTGCTTTGAAAGTACAATGCCTATAGTTTGTATTGCAAATACTCGTTTACAAATGTTTCTCGCCGGTAGCATCGTCTACTCGTTTGTATGATAAAATAAAGGGTTATCTGTCACATCACATTTCATATCACGTATCATTGTTTATTTGACAATTCACGGAAATTTTCTGCTTTATTGTGTCTATACTGCCAGGAACTGCCACAAGTTATTCAATTTACATAAATTAATATAGTTGATCGTTTCTATTTTATCATTTTATGGAAATACTTATTTCATTCATTTCAGTCTCCATATGCATAAAGACTTGGCTTATTTTTCAATCGATTGGAACTTACATAACTGGTTGATTTATTGATTTTGGTTGATTGAATTGACTGATTGATTGATCGATAGATCGATTGGTTAGTTGATTGATTGATTGATAGATTTGAGAAAGATTGATTGATTGATTGATTGATTGATTGATTGATTGATTGATTTTAATTGTGCTTGATCATCAATTTGCCTTTTATTATAGAGACAAATAGAGCTGATCGATATGATTGATTTATCTAACACAAGAATCACCTGACCTAGTTTTGACGTGCAATTAAAGTAGGTGCATTTATTTGTGGGATAATGTTTATAAAATATATAAGAAAGCTTTAATATAAAGAAAAAAATGAAAGCAAATACGAACTATTGTTTATAAACGATGACATGACTTTGATACTGACATGGTTAATGAATTGTGCTTATTATGTCGGGAGATTATTATATACATGTATTAATTGAAAAACTGTGTCATTTGTAAAGGATTGCATAGACATACTATTAATTTATTGATCGGTTCAGAGAGAATCCTTCAGAAAATTTATGACAGTATAGGATTAAATTGATCGAGTGCGAACCTAATTGTGATTTAATATTTGTAAAAATATACATGTACATGAAAAAAAAAACTGTTAAATAGACACAGACTGTACTACGGAGAAAGTTTGCTCTGGTACAATTTTTTGATCTGTTTATGACCTGTAATGTACTATATTTGATATTTGAATGACTGTGTTAATAAAATTAACTTCTTCTAAAGTAACGTCTGCTGACAAAGTGATATTGAATAGAAACGTAAATGGAACTAAGACTTTAAACGTGTAGACGATAAAAGAAATAAAATAAGGGTATTGAATCAGGTTTGATAAAAAATGACTGATAATGACTTATTTAATTCGCATGTAGCGTGTAACGTATTTTTTAATGTTTGAAATATACGTTTTGTGGTCTATTAAAATTAATAAAAATATATGTCAATTATTGGCATTCATTGAAATAAGCAATGCTTTATATATTATTGAATCTCATGTCTTACTAAAGTAGGTGTACTGGAATAAAGGACCTTCGCTGCTCAATGAGTGAATAAAGCCACGATCTTTAAGCCGAATAGTAAACTTCCATTAAAATCATAAACAATAACATTTGACTTGTATACAGTTTCTGTTTGTGGATTTATTGTGGGTTATTTTCGATGTCATTTTTGGTGAACATTGATACGATGTTTGTATTGGAATTTGCATTCTTCATCCTTGCCCTTGAGTTGAATAGTTAGGAACAAATTTTATAGTTTATCAAGTGGATTTATTGTGAATTATTTGCGTGCTAATATTTGCTGAACATTGGTTCGAAAATTGAATTAACCAGAAAACATTTCTTTATTGAGGAATCGATATACTTGTCTTGTATTAAACAACATCGATCATGTTTCAAGTGAGACTGACGTCCTAGTCACGCATCAGATAGTCTTGAAATTTGATACAATTTTCTACAGATTATGTCAAAGTATGGTAGTTGCTTTGTTTTGACGAAGCTGAAATTCATTGGAATTTTCTTTTGAAGTTTGCTGAAAGTATAGAAGTGTTTGTTGTTGGGAATATATTAATATTTTAAAAAAGCGATCATGTTTCGAATTATGCCAGATGAAATAGAACTGAACTAGGAAGAGTTTAGCAGGATATTTATTTGAAATTTTATTTTGTGTATATTTGAAATAAGTTGCTTGATAACGTAATGGCACGGAATAGGAGACAGTCGGAGTCAATGACATCTGCAGTTGGCAAGTATCTATAATATTATTTCTATAAATTGTAAACATCGTTAAAGGAACTCCACTGAGGTCCAAAAGCCTAAAAACTTAAAATTTGAATTTCTTACGTAGATCATCTGGGGCACTTATAACAAAAAGATAGGCAAAATGTAATTAAAGAAATTTACTCAGAAATAAATTGAAAATCGTACTTTTGTGCTATTTTAGCCCGATTTCAGTGAAACGCATGCATGGATTTGGGGTCATTTTGACAATTAGAATACTTGTTTTTGGGAAAATAGAGTAGGCAAATCATCTGAAATTTTACCAACACGTTATTGGTCTAGACTTACATCAAATAATCTCGAAAACTTGTTCCCTGTCTCGTCGTGTCATAAAACCTCAGTTGAGTCCCTTTAAAGTGTTGCTTACTTATACATAATAATCTAGGTAGACTTGTAACTACATTAAAAGTATTCCATGTGCAAAACGTACTGATAACAGTTATGTTTTTTATATATAATATTAAATAATTACAAAGTATTAATTCAATGTGAAGTACAAAACAAAATATATACATCTAAATTGCATTCATTATACAAATATTTAAGTATGTAAAATCGTTAACGAAAATTTAAATACCATATTATAACTCTATGAGTTCACAGTTTTTCAATTTTATTTTATCAAACCAACGGACGATATTGATGAAAGATTTGTTTTAATCAAACCAAATATCTAACTTCTTTTTAATAATAAAGTTTTTAAGTATACATGTATTTATTGTATATTATTTAATTATGTAAATAATAAGGTATAAAACAATTCTCTAGCATTAAACCATAATTCACTGATTTAATAATATCAATATATACATAATAATCGTATATTCAAAAGACAACGTTTGTAAATTTGAGTTAACTTTTTTATACTGACATGTAAATTAAAATACCGGTATATGTATTCAATAATTTTATATTCTAGAACTACGATGTAATAAAGGTAGTTATAAATTTATTTCAGGACGTGGCTGTTTCCTGTTTCTAGTTGGTGTTTTATGTGTTGGATTCTCTGTTACCAAGATTATAGTTGGTATGTTAATTATTGTTGTTCTTGTTTTTATGTGTTTATTTATTTATTTATTTATTTATTTATTTATTTATTTATTTATTTATTTATTTATTTATTTATTTATTTATTGTTGCTGTTTTAAACTTTTATTTATTTATTTATTTTGTTGTTGTTGTTGTTGTTGTTGTTGTTGTTGTCGTCGTCGTCGTCGTCGTTGTCGTCGTCGTCGTCGTCGTTGTTGTTGTTGTTTTTATCTTTTATTTATTTTTGTTGTTTTTTTTATCTTTTATTTATTTATTTATTTATATATATTGTTGTTGTTGTTGGTGGTGGTGGTGGTGGTGGTGGTGTTTGTGGTGGTATTTTTATCTTTTATGTATTTATTTTTGCTGTTGTTGTTTTTATTATTTATTTAGTTATTTATTTTGTTGTTGTGGTTGTTGTTGTTTTTATCTTTTATTTATTTATTTTTGCTGTTGTTGTTTTATTATTTATTTATTTATTTATTTTTCTTATTTACAAAACTGCAGAGACTGTAAGTGAAACTGTCACTCGCTTAGTTAAATGAAAAAGTAGTTACATGTATGAACAGCGTCTTTCAACGTTTAATGTAATAACAGTAAATAATGTAATATTTCATGTGTATCTTATGAATGATCATTCATTCATGCCTCAATACAGAAAAAAAGATTTATTTGTGTATTTTGTCTGAAAATGTATATTTTAGTTTTCAAAAATATTTTCAACTTGCTTGAATCAGGCTACTGTAACAAGAACCAAAAGTTTAACTGTTCAAAACCCTTAAGGGCCAAGGTATTGTTTCAATGGAGCAGATTCAAGTGTGTTTAATAAGCTTACAACTTCCAACACACAACGAAACTTAAAATAAATTTGTATAAACTAAACAGTTAAAATTTGTATCAAAGTTAGCCTTTATGTTTAGTATTAGCTGCCGTATATGCATCATTGTACATTAAGCGTTAATAATGTTCCGTCCTTGACGTTTTTAGTGCTTGGGTGAGCTTTGTCTGTGATAGGACTATGTCTGTCGTCCGTCGTTAACCACAAATCTTTAGAAATATCTCTTCTTTAATCCTAATGTGGATTTTAATCCAACTTGAAGTACAACCTTTTCCATTAATGGTTTCAATGGTCCACATGAAACTACGACACAATACTCAGAGCTTAGATAGTTAATATGTAGCATTACTACGTGGGTTTTCCACACACAGAATGTTGGAAAAAAAGTTAATTCTAGGAAAGAATCAATTTGTTGTAACTTATAAGGTAAGTTATATAATAAGCAGCTGGAATATAATTTAATGAAACATAGAATTATAATTATGTAACAATTACAATCAATACGTGTTTTATTCATCTGTCATGTAACCTTCACATACAATGTCATAGGATAAAAGACAAAGGATACTTTAAAAATGGTCACTTATTATAATTCATTATTGTTATAGATAAAAACAATTATATAATTGTATTTAAAAATTAATGAATACACTAAAAGCTAAAAGGGCATATATGGTAGTTACGCCCTATTAAGCTAAGTCTAAGTAACAATTTTAAACAGCGTAACTGCTAGTTACGTCCTTTTAGAATTATTGGCCGATGCATGAAAATGTAAATATTGTAAGGGCGTAAAACGGATTTCGTGAATTTTATTAAGGTGGTGGGTTATTTTAATTTGAAAAAATGTTTTAAAAAGGTCGATATTAGTTGTTCTAAGTGTGTCCCAAATTTTATCATGATTGATAAAGGATCAAAGTCTGCAGACAGTTTTTTTCAATTTCCCAAAACTTGTAAAAATGCATTTACGCCCTTATAGCACTAGACCGTCGAATTGATCTTTTATAAATATGGTATAACTCTTTAGTACGAATGAAAATCTTAATTATGTTTGTCCTTATCTTTATGCTGGAATACATATTCTTAAAAATATTTTTAGATGATATATATATATAAAAAAGCATTGGACTCGTAAAATGTATAATACACTGATTTTGTCTATAACCACGGCGTTCTTTTTGTAAGTTTGAATTGTTTGAAGGGACATAAAGCCTCCTTTTTCTTCAAAAGAATGGGCAAACGTTTATTTTTATTATGTTATAATAATGGACTTAGACACGCGAAATGCTGATCACATGAAGTGAATAGTTGTGATAAAGGAAGCAATAAAGGAAGCAGAATTTTAGAAATTTGTATTTTGCCTTCGGTACAAGACGCTTAATCAATGCAATTAAATCACATGCAAAAACAAACAACAAACAAACAAACAAAGATTGCTCTTCTGCTAAAGCCAATGAATAACATTTTTGGATATAGTAATATCATATAGTAAATAATAAGATACTGAAAAATCAAAATAGCATTTTTAGCTTGATGAATCATTGGCCTTTTAAGGTTATATTGAATTGCTTGATAAACGTCTGTTTTTATTTCGTTCCTACAGAAGCCTTTTCTTGGTGTGTTTGAACATTTCTGTTTTATCTACAAAGCTTTTCATTAAATATACTGGTTTCTTTTAAATAACTTTGTAAAAGATCAATTATTCTAACACGTTTGAGTTGAAGATTAAATACCGCTTTTCACATGAAAAAATAGTTAAACTTTGCATAAATTCATGTGAGTGGTATTTATAAATTGTTGTTTATTATTATTTGATTTTATTTTTCATTTGAATTCGTATTTATTTTAGGTTCCGAGTATGTAAGCCAATGTCCTTCAAGGGAGATGATTCCTGTTTATATTATTGTAAGCGGTTGTCTCCCTGTATTACTGAGTGCACTACGACAACCGTATAACGGTGGACATGAAATGGACAAAGATAAATGGTCAATGAAAGTATCGTTGTTTACTGCGATTATTGGAGTAATGGTCAACCTAGCATGGCTTGTGGCGGGTTTGTTTCATAATTTTTTATTCTCCGTGATTAATACTACCTAATTTTACAAAAAGAAACACAATTTGGACAATGCGTTTTGGAAGACAAAATTTGTTATTCGAGTTAATTATTGTTAATTATATTTTAAGTATAGATATGGCTTGTTGAGTATGGTTTGTAAAGATGAAACATGATGAAAAATATCTAAATATTTGGTCAGTCATAAACGTTCTTTTGGTATAAACTTCGAAGACTGGTGTATTTTAAAACCAGAAACAATATAAAATATTAATTTGTTTCAGCGTTTGATTTTGTAGTAATCTAAATATTTGGAAAGAATGACACATTTATTTAAGTAATAATCATTTCATACTATTTTCAGTGCATTTCAATCTAGTAAATGTTGATTGATTAAAATGAGAGGATTTCTCACTAAATACATATTGAAACTGTCTTTAAGCCCACAATTCTCGTGATACCTTATTATTATATTGTCATTGATTATTTAACAACTGACATGATACAGACATCTCTAAACTATGGTCGTTGATTTGTGCCATGAGTTATTTTCGCTCCACGGGACGCCAAACAAAAATACGAGAATACGACAATGCCCTCCTTTCGAATCTCTCGAGTCTTCGCCTAGCGCCCTACGGAGAGAAAGTATGACAAAATCGTCACAGTCATATTTTTGTATTTTTGCCTAGATCCCCACGGAGCAAAAATACGAAATGGCACAAATCAGCCACCACACAAAACAATTAGATGTATAAATATCAAAGCAGCATTGCAAAAGTCGGTTTAAGCGTTTACAGTAATGCAGTAGGTCTCTAATGGAAGTTTTAAGAATTTTTACAAAGGGAAAACAGGCTAAGAGAATTTTCTTAACCCTTGCATGATTAAAGAGGACCATGATTGAAACAGGTTGGTGATTATTGCTTTAATCAATTTGTTTCAATCATGATATGCTTCTCTTTAGTCACGCAGTTTAAGAAAGTTCTCTGTGCTATTCTTTATAACAAAAAACACCGATATTTCCCATTAGGGGCCAATAACCATATCTGATTGTAAATATTTCACTGAAAGTATTGTCTAATTGTCATGCCACCAGTTTATCAATTTGTGAATTAAAATCAAATATTCTATTTAGCTTTAACACGATCGGTATTGAACTTGTTTGTATAGATTACTGAAAATTATTCCAGAAAACTTTTTAGTTCATTTATCATTTTCTTGGCTTTAAAGTCATTTTTAAAGAACGATAAAATACTTTTCAGGAACATATCTTGTTGTAACAGTTTGGAAAGGGACTATTTGCAGCTCAACACAACTTATTACACCTGCACGTTTAACAAGCTTAAATCCAAACACTGTACCAACATCGATGTCAAATAGTACCTCATCTGTTCAGACAATGAATATTTGGATAAATTCCAGCAACAGCCAGTATCAATCTGAAGCCGAGGAAGATGGACATAAAATACACAGAGACTTAAATGAAACTGAAAAGAAAAAAATAGATGCCAACAACAGTGCTGTTTTTGCTGAGGCTTCAAAACTATCGGGTGAAACATTTATAACTACAACCGATTTAACTAAAACTACAAGAGGTCCATTTGTTGAACCAGAAACAGAAATACATGAAAATGAAACGCTTGGTAAAAAACACAAAGATAATGAAGACACTGTAAACATGAATGATGCCTCTAAGACTGAAACTAATTCTAAAACAAGTGCTATGAGTGGAATCATAGGGGTGCACAATAAACATAATTCTTCTAAATTTACGAAAGGGAGTTTTATGAAAGGAACGGATATAGCTAAAGACGAAAAGAATTCTGATATTGCTAGAGCACCAAGTGAAGACAAACACTGTATAGCATGTGACAAACATATCTTAAGATTTTCTCTAGCTGTGATTATAATAGACTGGTTGTTTGTAATATGTGGAACTGCATACTTTTGTAATTTTGTATATCATAGATTTTCCTCTATAACAAGTCAAATTTTGCTAATAAATGGTTAAGAATATTATATTTTCGAGCATTTAAGAGTTGACGAGATAGTGTGTTATAATAGAAGACATCGCTGTTTTTGAATAGATTTGATTGGAAGAAGTAAATTTGGGATAAGGAATAGAGATTGAAATGGCATTACTATTTGTAAAAGTGTGAAAAAGTGTGATTCATTACAGAAGTTTAGTGTGTATGTATGTAACCGTTTGCAATAAGTGTTACATTTACAATAAAAATTGCTAAAAACCGGTTGATATTTTCATTCTGAACACATAATTGATGATAACAGAGATGTTTCTGTTTGGAATAAATCATGTAAAAGAGTGAAAGTAAAGACAACGAATTTGATATAAATAGCAATTATTAACTGAAAAGTGTGACTTCAAAATGTTCTCATCACAAATCTACATATGTATTATGTCCGTACGTAAATCTTTTAGTGTATTAATTTGTTAGGTGTACCTTAACAGCTACATTTGCATTAGATATTTCCGCCGAATAACAGAGCATTTGAAGAAATCCGTGACAGCCTTGTAAATGTCAAATAGCATATGGAACAAATTATGACAACTTTGAAAGTGCCAAATAATATCATATGTAGAAACACTATAGCATCTTTTGAAATGTCAAATAACATCATTTATCATGTCATTACATTGATTTCTGTTGATAAAGTGCATGCCTGATAAACCTAGCTTTATCAGTCACCCCAAGCTTTATCAGACACCTCATCAAAAATATGCAAAATTTGCGAAATGAAATAAAAAGAATGGAATATATTTTTCTGCTACTGGGTTGGAAATATTTAACTGATAAACTTTGAATCGAATAGAAATTTTGAATATGAACGCGTCACTTACAATTAACTAAAACATTCGGGACTATTTCTTTTTGATTTGGCATTTCACATATTATTGCGCGCCGTCTGAACACGAGAGGTTCTGGATAGGGTTTTGCTTCAATTAAAATAAAAAAAATTCAAACAACAATTGAAATTGAAAACATGATAAATAGAATACCAAACAAGTGTCTAATATTATAAAATTTATCAGGCTCGGCACGAAAAAAAGGAGAGCTCGGCACAGCCTCGCCCTTCTTTTTTTTCTTAGCCTTGCCTGATAAATTTTATAATATCAGACACTAGCATGGTATTCTCTATATGTACAGCACTTAGAGAAGTTTGAAATATTTTGGTATTATCTTTGAACATCAATTTGATTATTTTTTCTTTGAAACAAGGATCATTTATAAAAAAAATCGTTGCAATATTTCTTAACAAATTCCATTTTAAACAAAAAAAAATTGTAGAAATTACTATTGTTACATTTTTTGGAAGATTATTCTTGTCTTTTTTGTTGTTATTTGTTGAATAAAACGTGCGATGTTCTAGCTAAAGAGGACGTTATTGCTAAAAATTAGAAACGCTTTGTTTTACAAGAATCCATCTTCCCACTGACGTCAGCCACAAAAGCAATGCATGTTAAATTAATAGAAAATAGTGAAAGCGTATACCAGTATTGGTAAATTAAATGTAGTATATTATTATACGGAATGTGTACCGTGGGTTCCGACGTTGATTTAAAACCTAAATTGTTAAAACATGAATTGTTAAAACATGAATTGTTGAAACCTGATTTGGTAAACATGATTTGTTAAAAAATGAAATTGTTTAAACATGTTTACATTATACTTTATGCTCACCATGCATTCACAACGTTGAAAGTCTGTTTAGGTCAAACTGACATTCTGATGACTTTGAATCAATGTAAATCATAAAGAGGAGAATTGTAGTTCTAAAGGTACAAAGGTATCTAATAAATTATGTATGTAGTCTTTTTATACAATTTCTTTGCGGAGCGAGTGCGTAGGTTATAATGTAATAAAGCAATTTACTCGTCACTAAATCTACTGAAATAGATTCAAGTTACAAATATTACAATTGTGTCTATGCAAGGTTTTCCATTTCAATGTTAAATCTGAAAAATATGTTTTGACATAACGTTCATAGGCTTCAGAATTTGATATTTGAAATTACATAAAAGTCATCTCTTAAAGCGCCAGCCGTTGTTAGATATGCCTGATATGCCTTTTGATTTATGTCGAGCTTATCTTGGAAAATTCAGCACAGCAAAGGTTGTAACATGTAAAAAACAAGAAATTAAATTGCTTGGCAGCAAGTTTGTTTTTTGTTTTGTTTTCATATGAATTGAGAAATACGTAGGGCGTACTTAAATTTTTGTTAAATGCTTCTCACAAGTGGCACTTAAATCTGTATACTTAGGGATTCACCAACCATTTGAGCCAAATTTGTCATGAATTTAAAGCTGATGAGCCAAACTACTTCAAGAAAATTAAAATGGAACCTCTTCTAAGTTATTTTTAAGACGAACATAATTATGTGAATGGTAAGGTACATTTTCTGTTATACGTTTCTGAAATTCAAGGTTACGGCTTTGCATTCACTTTTTACGTTACAATTTATTTTAATTATCAATTGATATTTAACACAAATCTCCCACAATCAAAATTGAGTTATACAACATTTTCTCCCAAGTGGCTTTAAAGCAATTCCTCATACCTAGAATATTGGCATGCTTGACTGATAATATCAAATTAATTTAGATATGATTGGCATGGGATTGGAAATGCTTTGTAATATCAATTTCAACCACGTGGATAACGATTGCATTTACATATTGCTATAGGCTTTTGGCAATAATCACGTTCAACCACGGCGAAGGTTGAAATCCATATTTTTTGATAAACGCTCCAAGAAATTTTCTTCATAATTGTATTGGTAACCTGATAGATCAAAGTTCAATTGTCCAAGAAAATCCACAATTCAAAGTAAAAATGATTTTGTATATACATGTATATTGATATTGTCTGATATGACAAGGCTCGTGGGAAAGAGTGTCTAATACTTTGATGCATTGGTAGAATAACAAAGTTTCGGGGAGAAGTTGCTGTTTAATAAAACAACGTATTTTATAAAATTATTATAAAAAAGTAAATAATAAATAAAAGCGTTCTTATAACAGATTATTATGACATTTGCACAGAGAGCTTGAGGATATTGGTAATTTTTTAAAGAACATTTAAAAATTGTTACCTTAAGAAATTACGATGTGACGCCGTTGAATGTCGCAATTACTCTAAATATCGTACTGTTGCCGCTAAATGTCGCATTGTTGCCGCTAAATCTCGCTCCGTTGCCGCTAAATGTCGCAACTGCCCCTTAATGTCCCTAAATATTTTGCCGTTAAATGTCGCAACACTATCGTTAAATGTCGCAATGTCGCACCATTTTCCTTACCGTTAAATGTCACAACACTATCGTTAAATGTCAAAATATCTAAATTTTCTTGTTAAACAACTCGAATTCTGTCAATATTAACGTTTTGTAGGTGGTATAGGAACTATAAGCTATCTATCAGGGAGAAAGGATCTGCTGTGATGTACATGAATTTAGATATTGCGACATTTAACGGTAGTGTTGTGATATTTAACGGGAAGTGAAAATGATGCTGAATTTTACGGCAAAATATTTTGAGACACATTTAGCGGCGTTTGCGGCATTTAGAGGCAAGTGCGACATTTAGCGTCGTTGCGGCACATAACGGCGCCACATACTTTACTTTGTTAGAATCTAGTAATGGGAACTTAAATAAACAGTTATCAAAGTAATAAACAGCCTGGTCGGTTATTTATGAATTACTCAAACAATCCGCTTAAATACATTTTCCTTACGTTACTTTTTGAATATGTGATGACATATATGGAAGCACTTGCAGCTTATATTTTTAAACTTTTATCGCGCTAAATATCAATCTTGACAAAACCAGTTACCTATTTGGGGAGTGGCACAGACACTTGGAGTAAAGACCCCGCCCTTCTCCGCCCCTGAATATAAAAAAGTAAAAGTATTATCTATTACAAGAATAAGTTTTAAATTTTTGCTTATATTAGTATGAGACGGTTAAGTGTCTAACACGTGAACAAGTTTCAACCGAATTTCATAACGTTTTAAAAAAGTCAATTTTTTACCAACGCTTCAATTTCCTGAAATTATGATATTTTAGGTACTTTTTTAAACGTTGTTAAAATAGCGGAAAACAAGTTTTATGTTCAAGACATGTGACCAGGTCGTAATAATATGCAAAAATATTTGGACGTACGGTTTGCACGATAAAAATACACAAGGTGTATACAAGTGCGGATCAAGGAGGGGAGCCACGCACATAACCCCAAGTGCCTGTGGGGAGTTGGGGAGAATTTCAAACTGTAATGACTGAAAAGAAAACAAAGCAAAATACGATCACATAGCACGGAAAATAAAAGAAAATCAGATATTTTACTGACCCCTATCCCCACTTCTATTGTTGGGCAATTATGTGGAAGAAAAAATAACTTGTATATTGAGTAAGTTAAATAGAACGCTTTGATAAGCTTGATCAGTTTCCTAAATGTTCTCATTACAGTTAGACCACAGCTGTTTTCTCTCGGCCAATCAGAGAAGTTTAAAAGTGTTTGATATATCACACACATCACAGTAAAGTGTTTGATATAACTATCATGTTTGTATTCAACTGAAAGGAAAATCCGTTATCTGCACGCTTTTATGCGGGTTAGTTTTCTATGTTATACATATAGTGAAGTAAAAAGTGTAATTCCCTTCTTAAAAAACATAGTCCTTTGACCAATTTATTTCGTCATGTCACTATTTTACAAGAATATTTACTGTATTTGTTAGTAAGAAAAAAAAGCAATAATGAAAAGAAATGCGTTTATCAATCTATAATGAAATGAAATGCGTTTATCAATCTATATAAATCTATATCTAAATTTTATGACCGCTTTTGTTTAAGACGATGGTGCTTATATTTTCAGGCACTGTGATTTCAATAATCACACCCTGAATTATGCCCGGCTCACTCTTAATAGCAGACACTGTAGATGTACATTCATTTACTGGTTTGGGGAGAGAGGATTACACTCTTGGGGAATGGGGTGGAATTTCGGAACGATGACTGGGCTGCTGTTGCAACGCTAAGGAAATGCTATGCTTAAAGGCTTCAGAGGGACGTTTGTAATTTTTTTTCAGTTCATGATTGAGGTAAAAAGCCAGTGTAGAGTGTATATAAAGCATACAGTAAATAAACGAGTCTATACGTCAAGTAAAACATTTTCAACTTCAGCCGGACTACCAACATATATCCGGCTCCCTAGGGTTGATTAAGCAGTAAGAATAACTTAATGAAAATTACCTGCCCATTTCTCCAACGAGCCACTTTCTTGATAAGCAGCCATCGCCTATGATTTCTGTCGGTAAGTGCTTATTATTCAAGCGCTGTGTATGGTGTTACGTCATCAAATCGTTTAAATGAGGAATCAACAGAAACCAAAAATCCTGAGTTGATTTACGCTCAAGTTTAAATTGTTATTTTATCACATTCAAAAATGTAAATTCTTCCCAATTTTCGTCTGATAGAAATTTATTTAGGAATGTGAAATATATTATTCATAAGATTGCGTATTCAGTAACTTATGAAAGAACATGAACTTTGCCATTTTCTCGTGCAATTGCCTACAATAAGGTCAAATAGATTGAATAAGATATATTGGGATATCCAGTCAGAAGAAAATTGGGAAGAATTTAACATTTCTGAATGTGATAACATTATAATTTCGAAACTTGGGATATTTTTGTTGTTATTCCTGTTGATTCCTCATTTAAATGATTTAATGACATAACACCGTACACAGCGCTTGGAAGCAAGACTGCTTACCGCAATATACTCTTAGACAGAAATCATGGGCGATGGCTATTTATCAAGAGTGGGCTCGTTGGAGAAACGGGCAGGAAACTTTTATTAAACGTTTTCCTAAATGCTTAAACAACACTAGGGTTCAAGATATTTATTGGTTGTTCGGCTGAAGTTGAAAATATTTTACTTGACGTACAGATTCGTTTATTTATTGTATGCTTTATATACATCTTGCATTGACCTTTTTACTTCATTCATGAACTGAAAAAAAATATTACAAACGTCCCTCTGAACCCTTAAAGCATAGAATTTCCTTAGCGTTGCAACCGCAGCCCAGTCACCGTTCGGATACTCCACCCCCTTCCCAACCAGTGGAATCCCCTCTTCCCAAACCAGTAAATGAATGAACATCTACCAGTGTCTGCTATTAAGAATGAGCTGGGCATAATTCAGGATGCGATTTTTGAAATCACAGTGCCTCAAAATATTAGCACAAAAGCAGTCGTAAAATTTAGATACATATGAAAATTTAAATAGATAGATAAACGCATTTCTCATCATTATTGCTAGTTTTTTTCTATTTACAAATAAAGTAACTATTCTTGTAAAATGATGAAATGTCGAAATAATTTCGTCAAAGAACTATTGCTATCTGTTTGTTTTTTTAAGACAATATACATAGAAATTTCCCCTCATAAAGCCTGCACATAACGGGGTTTTCCTTTCAGTTAAATACAAACATGATAGTTATATCAAACACTTTACTGTGATGTGTGGGATATATCAAACACTTTTTAGCCTCTCTGATTGGCCGAGAAACAGCTGTGGTCTAAGCATATTTAATCTTCACCTTAAACAAAGAAAACTATCTGTGGTCTAAGTCAGATACATCGCATGTGAGATTTATCAACTCGCTTCGCTTGTTGATACATCTCACATCCAACTGGTACCCATGATTTATCCTATACGTATTTTACCTTATGACTTTATCAAACATTCCATTCGGAATAAAGTAATGATTTTAAACATACCGCATTTCGGAACTTTATAATTATATCCCACCTTATAGTAACTAAAACAGTTGTTAGGGAAAAAACGGAATGTAGCTGCAAAGATAAATAACGTAGCGTTTTGACAATGGCATATCCATAAGTTTTCTTTTATCCTGTCAGAAATATATGATAATAAAGAAACCTTGAGACGAATATATTTTTCGCTATATTACTTCTGTCAGATTCATTTTTTCGTCTGTCTTATCGGTGAGTGATGGTATTCGGAATCTATTACGTTTAGACAATATTTGCTTTTTTATATATCATCTAAAGGTCTATGAGGGTTTGTTGTCGTTTTCGCTGGAAATACATATTTCCAGAAACGTCATATTTGTACTATGGAAAACAAACTTAAACATAAGATAAAAATTCAGATTCATCAGCGCAGATAATAGTGTTTAAGCGATTGGTTTAAGAGATCTTTATTTACAGAAGGTAACAAATAAGATATACCATCATAAAAAATCAAATAGCATAATTATCTTGATTTTAAATGTGGCCTTCTAAACAATATATAAAAACGCACACACAAAAACAACATCAAATGTAAGCGACAACAAAGTACATGTATTCAGTCAGTTTAGTAATAAAGTAATAAATCTGCAACACACAACTTTCTTTATTTCTACGTATTTAAGGCATGTTCTTTTGCATTTTACTTTTAAAATTACATAGAGGATATTGAATGAGTGTAGGTTAAATACTAAATTTATTGAACGAGTTGAATAAAATCATATTATGCGAGCCTCTGGCGAGCATAATATTGTTTTATTCAACGAGTTCAATAAATTTAGTATTGAATCTACACGAATATAATATTCTATTTATCACATATATAAAATAAGAACGGTAAACTCTTATCAAGAGTCATTTTTCTTGACGCGCCTATAGTGTAACGCTAACATTAGCGCGCTTTAACGCTATGTTTTATATAGTGCAATTGACGTGACGTATATAGTGTAATATCGTCTAGTGTAATATCGTTTTTGGGGGCGCATGCGCAATGCGCCCCCAATGTAATAACGACAAATTCAGATTTACTATGATGTGAACACAATTAGTCAGCTACCTACGCTAAGCAAAATAGTTCCAAAACTTCGCAGTAACTCCAAAATCATAGTTCCCTATCTATTTTAAAATTGACTGGCCAATTTTGTACTAAATTTAGCAATCGTCTTTTAAAATTGTATGTATATTTTTGCTTTACGCGATTTTAATATTACTACGCCAGCGGTCGATCATAGCCAAAGTACTTGCATAAATATAGTACAAATTACATGTAGTCACAGGTTAATTAAGTGTCATAGAACTCAAAAATTTAGCAAGTAATGGAATACGGATTTCAGATCAGCTAACTTTAAAGCTTATAGGGCCTAATGCTTCATAAGTGTAAATTTAAGAAAAACAATGCATGCGTATGAATACGAACTATTTTCGCCCTTACGTCATTTTACCGCAATCGCCATTGTTTACAAGTTCATCCGTGAAAGATTGAGAAGTTTATATAGAAGTTCCACGTGTTAAAACGAGTTGTAAGTTTTATTTTACAAAAACCTTATCTCCCATTTACCTAAATGTTGTATAACTTTGCTTGTTTTGCATTTATCAGTGGCGAAATCGTCGTCAAATCGTTGGCGATTCTGGTTGCTTACAAAAAATACAAGGACTTAATACCGGATATGACTTTAAATACAACGTTATTCAAGATGACTGATGTTCATTGTTTATATTTCATAACGTTGATATTTAAGTTGCAATCAAAAGCTGTATTTTTTACAAATTTTCTTCACAATCGGCCATTATCGGGTAAAGCTTTTTTGTACTGAATTGACCTTATCAAATTTTAAGTTTAGCAGTTCCTTCCCTTGAAAGTCCTCCCTCAAACCATTTCCTACCCAGACATTTTTGACCCATTTTTTTTTTATATATATTTTTTGGAGGTGAGTTATTTACATCTAGCGTATACATATTGTTGATGCTTACCTTACAGCTTTTTTAAATAAAAAAATATACAAGTTCAGTAATGATGTCTTATTACATTTTCTCAAAGAATGAACTGGATCCACGGTGCATAATCCATATTTGTACCCTCTTTGCGAAATCTGCTGAAACGGTACCTATCATTCACTGCTTAAAACAAACCAGCTGTGGATAACAATCATGTAAAATTTCATTGTAATAAGGAAAAGAGCTGAGGTATGACACTTAGAAACCACAGAACACTAGATTGTTTTATTTATGTGCTGATTCATCATGTGCCAGTCTCTCATGTATGATACTGCAACTTCATAATAAGCTAAAAAAAATCGACATGTCTTGCCTTGTCCATCACCTCGGCTTACAGACACTTCACCCCCCAGACACTTCACCCTAGGCCCTTTTTTGCAGACACTTCACCCCTCATTTTAAGAAATTTGAGTAAGGTTATAATTATATTTACACTGGGGATTAGCATTGAAAAACCCTGACATTTGCTTAGTTCTGTGTAACATCTATACGCTACCAGTACAATTTTTTTTTTGGAAAAATGCATTTTGACTCAAATTGATACTACATAACTGACAGGTATTCATGCCACATGGTTAATTTAGAATTTTATCCAGGGAGACATGAGAATTATGCATTATATTTATACACATTTAAAGTTAAACCATGCATAATATATTGATTTCTTATTGGAGTGAAAAAAATGAGTACATGTACATAAATAATGTTCGGAAGTATAAAATGAACTAGGTACAAATATTGCTCTGTCAGATGTAGTTATACTTGGTTTTTATCACATATCACTTATCAATATGAAATCATCCATTTTATATATGCCAATTTTGGATGGGAATTTTGACAGTAATTTTGGGACTTTAAAAATAAAACATTTGAAAATTTGCTGTCTTTTTTTATTGGGAATGTAAATAGTTTTATAAGGGAAAAATGCTGTTCTATTACAAATAGAATAGATAATAGTTACAAATACTACAAATAATATATCAGGGATTGAAAAACGAAAAACAACAACAACACAACAATGCTTAAAAAATATAAATTTCCTACATGTTCTGACTCATTTTTCTTTTTTGAAGACATTTTTTCTTTTTTGAAGACACTGTTTAACTTACTTCTTTCTGGCTAAACATTTGCCAAATATTGCATTGTGACATTTTAAAAAAATTTTGTGGAACATACTGGAATCGCCGCACGGGCTTTTAGTAAGTTTTTACAAAATAGAATCAAACAGAATTAAGCGTTGCATTCAACAAATCAACATCAGTTTTGCCCATCAAACACAGGGGAATTATTTTGTGCTCTGTCCTACTAGTAAAACTTGAAAAATGGTTTCAAAAGAATTGAATTGAAATTTGATTAATTTATGCTAGAAATTTCACACGTCCTGCAGGACGGGCATTTTTGGGAGATTAACTTGTCCAGAGTCATTTTTACTCGTATTTATCATTTATGAGCGGACAAGTGGATTTGTCAAGCCGTGATTAACCACATTATTTCCATAAAACTTATACTACATGTAATTACATTGTTTGAGATAATAAATCATTTGACTTACTAGTGAAATAAGTTTAAGACTGCATAATATTGATATAAAAGTGAATTCAGTTAGTGGGTTCCAAACTAGAGGTTGAAACTGTTCTATTTTCTATTCAAGTTTTTTTTTGATGAAACAAAACTTAATCCTGACAACAGTTATATATGCTTAACAGTGTTGTATTTTGATTATTTTAAAATCTGTTGAAAATATTCATATTAAATTCATGAAAAGAAGTTTAAAAAAAAAGAGAAAGAAATGAGATTTGGGCATAATTTTTAAGAAGGTAAAGATACTTCAATGAAAAAGTAAGATAGGTAACAAAAATCAATCAAACGAAAAACTCATTTAAAATTTCAAGTTGTTCCTGACATGTCTAAGTTGTTCCTGACATGTCAGAACAAAATTAATAATTTTTTTTTTTTTGAAATCTGGTAACCTCGAGCTATGTTCTCTACCGATTGAGCTATGATTCCGACAATTATTACTCACTTTTACAATAATTATTGTTAGTCAATCATATCTGGACATGCAACATTCAACTTACCCATATATATGCCTTTAAAAAGGACTGTTTCGACTATAAATACTTGAAATTATAAAAAGAAATTGCCCTATTATTCTTTACAGTCTATTGTGTATAGGCTAAATTTAGGAGACACTTGTGAAAATACGCAATGAAAAATGAATAATTACATTGAAAATACAGGAAATGAAAATGAGCATTTTACTTTATCAATATTTCTTAATGTTTTCAATGAAGTATGTAATAAATTAAAAGAACTATTGTATTGATTAGGAAAAGTTTTTATTTCAGGTTTGTGAATAAAGGCTTGTTTGTTAGATTTCAATTGTGGCTCAGTTGGTTGTTTGCTGAGAAGCTGTGAAACATAATTATACAGGCCATTAAGGTAAAAACATGTTAGCTTTTTTCTGACTTTGATATATATATCCATCTTACTGTAGCATAACAAAAGAGAACAATAGAATTCATTCCATAACAATTAGAATATGGGGCCATGGCCCTTTAATAAACAAAAGGAAAAACAATAGTAATGGTCCTTAATCCCTTTTCGGTCACACGGGCAAACATTTTCTTCAAGTAAGACCATACATTATATATGTTAGAAAGTTAAAAAGGAAATGTTCATTGTTTATATATATATTTGGTTTGAAAATCTTTGTATATTTACAATTTTGACCAAATAGTTTCTCAAAGTATTTATTTGACATTAACTGACATAATTAGTGGCATATGTTTCTAACTTCTTTTCCAGGAGGTTTTTGTCAGATTGATGAATGTGAAATTAAGAGGACCCATTTTGAGGATGCTTTTTATGAATGGAATCACGAGAGATGAAGTCTAAAAATGTGATACTGTCAATGTGACTAAACCTTGAAGTAAACAGATGACACAATGTTTTTCAATGTCATGGGCATATAATGAAGAGGTACATGATTATTTGTATACACTTTTCCTTAATAAATACTTTCTAAATGTTTGACATGTTTTAAAGGCCAACACAGGGCTCAAAGTTTATTTAAAATCTGTAAGCTTGGCACTTAGAGCCAATTGTATATTAATTATTTCAATATCTTTTCATTATGCAATCTGTTGTTAATTTAGGAACAAAAGTCGATAGCAAAAACATTTTAGCCGTGTCATGACGAAACCAACATAATGGGCATCTGCCCTGTCTGATCAGGATCCATACTGTTCGCTATCAGTTTCTCTACTTGTAATAAGGTTTGTAAGCGAACAGCATGGATCCTGATCAGACCAACCTGGTCTGGATCCATGCTGGTCGCAAACCCATTATGTTGGTTTTGTCATGACATGGCTCATTTGTGACATGTAATTCACTTAAATTGTATTTTGAAATTCAAGTTTTCATTCCTTTCACCTCAAGGCATTTGACATTGAAATAGTGACTTCATGTAGTAAGCAGTCAGTAAAACCTAATCATCTCATCTTGACTTAGCTGTATATAGATTATCAGAATCACTCACATTTACAAATTTATATGACTTTAAAAAGTTGTGTTACTAAGCAAATAAATAGATTTAATTGGGGGTGACCATAGTCAAAGTAATGTACCTAAACCACTTACCTTTAAAGATATACTATGCTCATCAGTAAAATATTTTAATCATGAAAATGTATTGAATTCTATGCAATTCTTTTTGAATATGTCTAATTTGAATGAATTAACTATGCATTGGAAGCCATGTTCCTTCTTACGAGACAAAAAAAAAATTTGGTCCCTTCTTAAAAAAACTGTCAGTTTCCTAACAACACTATATATTTATATTGTGACCAACTATAGCATGTGGTTTTTTAACATTACATAGCTACTTTATGTAAACACAAAACATGCTTATTTTATGTTTACAAAGAGACTGTGTAGCAATTATCAATGTTCTATTATATTTAATATGGATTCTTTAATGTGAGAAAGCAATCCAGCTAGCTTTAAAAAAAGGCGGTGGTTCTACTCAGATGCTCGTTTGTGAAATCTGATCAGAGGGGTTTTGAGCTCTGGCATTGGTCGTGCATTTTTTGGTTTTACACCTTTATAAATCAGAGTAATTCTAACAGAAAGATGCTGAAAAAAAGTTAACATACAAGTATGGAATATCTCGGTCAGCAATAAACTTTTTCAAAAACTCTATTTCAGAAAACAGAGATGCTTGTTTGACAGATACAGTAATAGTAGGAGTTATGAGGGAAGATAGAATGCAGTGATAACTATATTGAGGCACCACTTCATCACCAAGAAACATGAAATGAATTATCAATGTTTTCAATGTTTTTGAACACCCATTTTAAATAATACAGCTCAGAGTGAATTTTTTCAAAATAATTAATTCTGTTTTCAAAGTTTTTTATTTAGATGTTAGTTGAATCTTATCAAGTACTTAATTTTTTTAGGGATGGCAACAATAACTAAAATCAATACTCGAAGTACTCGGTCATTTAGAGTATTCGGTTTACTGGGGATGATTTCCAATGATCTTTAAATTTTTATCAACACAATAATCAACACCGTCTGCATGCTACCTTTCATTTCTATTTTAATTCAATAGAATTTGTTAGCTATAAATAGGATTGCAAAGAAATACATAATAATTTAAAATAAGCATAAAAAATGGTCAATGACAGCCCATTTATTATATACCTATAAATTTTCTTCCTAAAACACAGGATTATCTTGGGAAGCGCAAAATATTTTTCAAAACGGGTTAGAAAAATTCTTGTATTATGTTAGAGACAAAATTTTACAGTACCATATATGAAAGGCTGGAACTAATTTTTATGCTCCCAAAAAAAATTTCGGGTGAGGCATATAGTCCGGGCCCGCCTTGTCCGTTCTCCGTCCCCGTCCATCCCCTTTTTCTTTCCGGGACTTTTAACTTTGAAACAACAACAGGTAAATTAACATGAAACTTTGTAAGGTGAATAAATCTCAAATTGAAGTAGGGGTTGCAGGCCAAAAGAACCTTAACTCTGCCTTGCTTAATTTTTGAATTATTCCCTTTGGGTTTATTTTACACTTTGAACTTTGTCCGGGACAATAACTCCTAAAATTATAAGAGGTATCAACATGAAACTTTGTTAGGGTAGATAAATCTAATTGAAGTAGGTGTGCAGGTGCACAAGAACCGTAACTCTGCCTTGGTCTAATTTTTGAATTATTCCCCCTTTGTTTATTTTACACTTTGAACTTTGTCCCGGGACATTAACTCTAAAACTATAAAGAGGTATCAACATGGGAAACTTAGTAGGTAGATAGATCTAATTGAGTAGGTGTGCAGTGCACAAGAACCGTAACTCTGCCTTGCTTAATTTTTTGAAATTATTCCCCTTTTTTTTATTTTACACTTTGAAACTTTGTCCGGGGACATAACTCTAAAAAGTATAAGAAGGTATCAACATGAAAACTTTGCAGGTAGATAGATCTCATTACTTGGTATGCAGTGTACAAAAGAAACCGTAACTCTGCCTTGCCTAATTTTTGAATAATCCCCCTTTTGTTTATTTTACACTTTGAAATTTGTCCGGGACAAATAACCTTTAAACTATAAAAAGAGGTATCAACATGAAACTTTTGTAGGTAGATAGATTTTATTTAGTTGGTAAGCAGTGCACAAGAACCTTAACTCTTTCCCTTGGGCCTTATTTTTGAATTTATCCCCCTTTTTTTATTTTTACACTTTTGAATTTGGTCGAGAACATAACTCTCAATGTAAAAGAGATTCAACAATGGAACTTTTGTAGGAGATAGATATCGTTGAGTAAGTTTTGCAGTGCACAAGAACTGTAACACTGTCTTGCCTACTTTTGGAGTTATTGGGCCCTTTGATCATTTTGACACTTTGAACTTTGTCCGGGACATTACTCTAAGCAAGGTGCTTAAGAATTATTACTCTGCCTTGCCTTATTTTAAATAATGCCCCCTTTGTTTATTTTTACTTTTTTGAACTTTTGTTACGAGACATAACTTTTAAAACTATTAGAGATATCAACATGAAACTTTTGTAGGTAGCTAGATATAATTGGAATAAAACTGCAATGCTTAAAGAACCTAAGAAAGCCTGGTCTAATTTTGGAGTTATTACCCTAAAAATTTCATTTTTACACTTTGCCCCTTGGACATAACTCTGATATCATCAGGCAACTTTTATAGATGGATAGATCTAATTGAAATAGAAGTGCAGTGCAAAAAAAAAAACATAACTCCGCTTTGCCTAATTTTGGGGTTTTTTTTTTTTTTTTTTTTTTTTTTTTTTTTTTTTTTTTTTTTTTTTTTATTTTTTTTTTTTTGGCCCTTTGTTCATTTTTTTTATAACTTTCCCAGTGGTCCAGAACCTTCTGGGGAGCATCACCCGGGTTCAACCGGGTTCTTGTTAATGTTGGGTTCTGATCTTAGGCTTGTATAACATAGTATTAATGGGAAACGGCAACCCCAAAATAATAAAAGGTTGTGGCTGGTTTTTGCACAAAATTACGTATTCATAATGTAGTTCATAATTTTATTTCTTGACAGCTTTACAATTTCTTTTTCTGAAATTTTCTTATATAAGGTAGTATAAATGAAAATCAAATTTATACTTGTCAAAGAAAAGGTATATTATTAAAAAGGAAAATTTATGTTTGTAGTAGCTTTCCTGAGGCTATGATTTTTCTACTTTGCAAATGTTGGGAAAATTGTTATCTAGCTCGCCCCTTTAGTTCTCGCAAGAATCAATTTTCCCACCGCTTGCTCATTAGCAAAATAAAAAAGCCTCAGAGAGCTACTACAACATAATATTCTGTATTATATATTTTTTATAATTAACAAGTTTGGGCTAATCCTTGAACTTTTTTTTTATTTAATTCAAGTTTGATTTTTTTAAAATATATTTATATGAATGGCATGCCAGTTTGAAAATAGTTTTACTTATGTATATTTGGCAAGCAATTTCACATGTAGCTCTTCGGAAAAAAAAATACACTTGAGAAAAAAAAATTTATAGGCATAAAGTGATACCCGTTCTTCATCATCATTTTTGGGTTTTTATGCTCACCTGAGCTTGCCTCAGGGGTGAGCTTTTAAGGATCGGTAATGTCCGTCGTCCCGTTCCCACAAATTGCTTGTGAACCTCTAGTTGGGGTCGCTTTTTGCCCAAATAATCAAACTTGGTAGGATGCTTATCTAAGTTTGAAAGCATGATTGAGTTCAAAATGAGTCATTCGGATAAAGGCCTAGGGTCACAAGAGCTAAAAAAAAAAAAACCTTGGGAACACTGTAGAGGTCACATTTTTGACCCAATTCATCATTTAAACTTTTTGGTCAGGATGTTTGCCTAGGTGATAGCTCGGATGAGTTCGAACATGGTCATCTCTGATGAAAAAGGTAGGTAACACGTAGGAGCTATTTAAATAGAAACACCCTTTAACACTCTATGGTCCACATTTTTAAACCAATCATCAAATCAAAACTTGGTCAGAATGTTGTCTAGTCAATTTGCTTTTGGATGAGTTTGAACATTGGGTCATCTTCTGATGAAAAAAACTAGGTCACAGGAGCCTAAAAAAAGAAAAACCTTGTGAACACTCTTGTGGTCACATTTTTGACCCAATCATTCATCACACTTTTCAAAGGATGCTTATCTTTGGTTGATAGCCTCGGATGATTCGAACATGGGTCATTTTAGGAAGTAAAACTAGGTCACCGCCTCGGAGCTACTAAATAAAAACCTTGTTAAACACTCTAGCAGTTCACATTTTTGCATCAATCATTCATAAATTGGTCGGATTCTTATCTAGTTGATACTTGGAATGAGTTGAAACATGGTCATCTCGATGAAAAATGTAGGTCACCCGAG